GTCTCTTCCTGCCACTATTACTATCAATGTGGGAGTAATTTCTGCCTGGTTATGGAAGGCTAATAAATACCCACTTAGGAATAAAACCAGGAGCATGAAAGACATCTTTCTACTAAATCTTATTCACATTCATATGTGAGCCAGGGTAAAGATTCCTCAGCCATTTTTACAGGAACTGTAAAAGGCCTTGGAGACAAAAAGCAGAAAATCCTTCCAGTGGAAACTTACATATCTCCCATTCTTTCTTCTAGTTGTTTTTGCCACAGTCATGTTTTCCAGAGTATTTCTTGTAATGCACAGCCTACTATCTGAGCTAAGGTAAATTGCTCACCATTGCATTAAAGCTGACTCATGAAAAAAGCAATTTTCTGGAAGGAATAAAAATGCATTTTACTTAAGAGATTCATATCCGACACTCGTTTGTTTAAGAACTGAAATAAAGATGGACAGTTTATAGATTACAGTTTCAATGGGGTCATTTTGTCTCTGAAGCTGCCTTATGTTTCTATAGTAAAAAAGAAACAAGAGAAAATATTTGCTAGTTTGACTAGTTGTTTTCATCCAAACAGCTCTTTGGACTGCTTCATATGCAGCCTAACCATTTTGGTCCATTAAGATTGGAACAAATAAACAATCATTTTTAGATCTGCTTCGTCAAGCGAGGACTAGAGGTCTGTAATTAAATCTTTCGGCTATTCCAAACTGTAAAATAAATAGAAGAAAGAATTGGAGGTATATGAATTTCTATTCCAAACTGAATCTTAGAATGGAAGGCAATTTGGAGATCATAAAATCTAATCTCACTCCCCACCAACCCACCCCCAGTGCAGGACTAGACTACTATAGTGTACTATAGAGTTAGAGCATCTGCATATAAACTAATTGTACAATTTGACTTCCCAAAGTCTTGAAGATAACCATTTTCCCTAGTAAAACCCAACTGAATTTTACTGTTTTATGCAACAGAAGAGGAAAATTCTTAAACAAATGTAATTGCATTAATTATTGTTGAACTACATTTAAATTCTTTCACTCCAATTCTACAGACCTTGTACCAACAATCCACTTAGCTTAATATTAACTTCCTTGACCAGCAGAAACTCTCCAATCTCTTAGGTAGAGTGTCTGCAAACCCATTAGCCTAACTTGAACCCAAGTACATGTGTGTGCCAAGGATTTGGTTAATGGGCTTTCTCAACCCAATTCTCACAAGATGATTATGAAAATAATAAGAATTCTTGGTACATTCATAGGATCTGAAGTATGGAGGCAGAAAAGACTAACAGAAAAAGCAATAAAACTATCTTCAAGAGATGGCTATCCAGTTTTTCTTAAAAAAAAAAAAAACCACACACACACACAACTTCATGAGATGGAGAAGCCACCATCTCTGTGGGTAGGCTGTTCCACCGTTTGTACAGATCATCTCAACAGGAAATTTCCCCTTATATTTACAGAAAATATTGTAGTTGCAACTTGTATTCATTATTTCTCTGGCAATCAAAATAATTCCTGACCATCTTTTCCATGCCGCCCTTTGATGAACAAGTATGTATTTCCAAAAAGAGCCATTAAAACTTTGTACAGAACCTGCCCAAACAAGGGAGGATGAGCAAATGTTTTTAAAAAGTAAAGTGAACAATACATGGCTTAGAGGAAGCCAAGCCTTCAATAGATGTATGCCAAGAAACATACCAGTATTCTGTCTTTACAGAGAAAAAAGGGAGGGGAAAATACTGAGAGTGACTTTATTTTCAGAGCAGTGAAACATGACAGATTAAAGCTGTGTTATGTGCTTAATAAACTTCTTTGCTGCAGATCTCTAATTTATCAAGAGGTAAGATCCAAAATTGTTGCTGCACTACCAAGCGACAGTTCATGTTTTCTGCATGCCAGCCAAACCATAATGTTACGTGCCTCTTTTACCTACCGGTAAGCCTCTAATTTAGACATGTTCAAGCCTGCGTGTGATATCATCAAGAAACATTAATAGCCAACAACATTAAGACAACTGTAAGAGGAAACTGGCAGCAATACAATAGCCTTTTATACAAAGCAAATTAGTCTGATGCCCGCACCAAACTCTCTTACGTGATCTCTAACATTAGACCTCTCACATACACAGTTGAAGAGAAAGATCAGCATTCTCTGAATGTCGCAGCAATGTTTAGTAAAGACCAGAGTTTAGACTGATTTCAAAGGCAATTTCAACAGCCCTTTATCCTGCGCTGTCTCCCATCACAGAAACTAAACCATCCCACACGATGCATGCATCTTGAGTTTTCAATGTGCCTAGCAAAAGTTCCTTATCTTTTGACAAATCCCATTCTCCACCTCTTAAATCTGTTGATGGTTTCCATGTCAGAACATAATGAAAAGCTAATATGCTACAAATCAATGAGCTAGCTCAGCTATTCTTGTTATTTACTTCTAGCTAGCTGCAGCCCTGTGCTTTTTTTGGAATTGTGTCAACCTGTCCAGGAAAGGGATGATTAAAGCTGAGGCAATCAAGAGATTCTTGGGAGACAAGAAGGAGGGACAGAGAGCAAGGGGGGTAGCAGCCTAACATTTTGTGAAAATGTCCATCCTATCACACACTCCTGAAATTCCAGATGGTCTCAAGGGTTCATACAGTCTGGAAATAACAGTGATGCCAATTCCATTAGCAGAGAATATATGTAGCTCAGGACAGAATGGCTGGATGAAGATGATTTGGCAGATTGTTTTCACAATGTGTAGCAATTCAGGGCTTGGAGAGGCTCCAGCTTCATTCCATGTCCTTGGCCACTGAACCAGATTTTTGTTTTGTTTTGGAGGACTATTGATATGGGGACGTCTCCCTTGAAAACCTTTATGTTGTGGTAAGTGGGACATGAGGCTGAGCTCACACAAAGATGTGCCTGTTCTAAGGAGATCCTTAAGCATGTCCACTGTCTAGATAAGTATCAATATCACAAATATTTTCCCTTTAGAAACAATATTCTATCTAAAAACCTTTTTTCCAGAAATTTCATACATTTCATTTTACTAAGTGCAAATTTCTAAAGATCCAGTTTATTAAACTATAAAACTGTCTTTCTGTACATGCTTCCTGGGAATTTGCCTCATTATTACCGTGTTTTCCTGAAAATAAGACCCTGTCTTATATTTTTTTTTAACCCTGAAATAAACGCTTGGTCTTATTTTCAGGGAGGTCTTATTATTTTGGGGCTTGTGGAGCAAGATGGGGCTCCTCTTGCCGTCTTACCTGATTTCCGGCTCTGCATTTAAATATTTTCAGAAAGGGCTTATTTTCGGGGGGAGGCTTATTTTAGCGCATGCGCTCAAAAGCCCGATTGGGGTTATTATCAGGGGATGTCTTATTTTCGGGGAAACAGGGTAGTTATTAGCTTTGTGAAGAGTGGCACATTTGTTTTAAATAAAAGATTACATGAAAAAATATTCAGTAGAACAGTGTCCAAGTTGCAATACTAATCAGCTTACCAGAAATTTTCTTGAACTCAGTGACAGTTCCCAATAAACATGCAACTCTCTCTCAAAAGTGTTATGTATGGGATCCAAGAAGAGAGATTGCATTTGTCTTTTACAGCAAAAAAGATGATTTAATCAGTTCCAAGAAAGAGCTTAGCTGGCACACTCTTTCCTTATTCATGTCTTATTGAGTACCTTTTCCTTCAATTAATTTTGACCACATGAAAATGTGTAACTGGTTCTTCACTCTCCTTCATTATGTTTTCTACATCAAAACCATGATTATTTATGTAAACTAAGGATAATCCTCAATTTATGATGAATATTGAGTCCAAAATTAATGAATGTCAAGCTCTATAACAACGTGAAGGAAGAATGCAAGAAAACAGAGCTGAAGAAATACACACTGTGTCAATTTATATTACGCAAACACAATTCAATCTGCACATCTGATTTACGGATTTAGCAACAGCACTTAGACTTATATACCACTTCACAGTGCTTTACAGCCCTCTCTAAGCGATTTACAGAGTCAGCACGTTGCCCCCAACAATTTAGGTCCTCATTTTACCAATTTTGGAATGATGAAACCCTTGAGCCAGTGAGATTCGAATGGCCAAACTGCCAGTAATTGGGAGTTAGTAGGATTAGCCTGCAATATTGCATTCTAACCACCATGCTACCACGGCTCTTAGAACCATTTGATTGACAGAGTCCTTGGATAAATTAGATACTGAAATCAAAACCCACTACATTTAGAGAGAACAACTTTCAACGAGCAGTTTTGCAACTTTAGGGCATACAATTGTTCAGAGGTTGTTTTGGTTATCCTGTGTGATATTGCAATACACAATGAAAACAAAAATCATCTTGGCCTCCTAGCATGTAAGGCTGTCTAAGAATCCAAAGAGGGGTCACATAAGCTAACTCACAGGACAATCTGTTCTAAAAGTATTTTTTATTATGGACACGGATTAGAATTCAATGGAAATACTTTGTGCAATTCTTCCACTCAAGCATAATATTTTGCTTCCAAATATGCAGCAAATGTTGTGCCTCATGGTCACCATGTCCTCAGGCAAGGAAAAAAGATACTCCCAACTAATTCTGCAACTCTGTCTCATTCCCATTCTCACAGACAGTACCATTTCCCCAAAAAAGCTAGATTTCAAATTGCTACACAACAAGTGTTTTTAGAATAACAATCACCAACATTTGATGATATTCAAGCAGATCTCCTGAATGTCCTCCCAACTCAGGTTTGAATACAACTAAAAAAGGTGGGATTTGATTGGGAATTGCTCATGTAGCTGCCCATCTCTGAGCAGCTCCCTATCAAATCACATCTTCCACAATAATGCCCCCAACTCAATTAAATCTGTCAATTTTTCTCTTTCAGTGCAACGAAGCCATCCCATTTATGAACTCTAGCAGGCATATTAATCACCATCAAGAATTCTCTCCAACAAAAAGCAACACTTGATTGAACCTACCAACAAAACAACAAATCACAAATTCTTTTTGCTGACCTGTAAATGATGCCTCTCTCGTGAAGGAACATGAGGGCTGAAATGATTTCTGCAGCATAGAATCGGGCTCGGACTTCATCAAAGCGACGGGATTTCTGGATATGGAACATCAAATCCCCTCCATTCACAAACTCCATAACAAAGAAGAGGCGATCCTGATCAAAGGCAATACCACATACCATCATCAGTGGAAAGATGTTAATTGTATTTCTTTTTCTCTCCCCACATAGAATTTCTTTTTAAAATCCCTTTGAATTGAAACAGCCACAAAAAGAGCAAAATATTCAGGATTTTACCCCCATAGACCAAATTACATGGTATTTGACCAACCTAATTCAATCCTGGAATGACCTTTTTGTTCTGGATTGGACATTGGAAATCTGGATTTGCTCTCACTGCAACCCCAGTTCAGAGTGCCTGCTATACATTCAGCATTTATATTGACAGAAAGAGATCAAATGTCCCATTTTATTGAAAATAACTCTTTATTTGAAAGGCCATTGGAGGTCTGACCTCCATTTGAAACAGAGTTTTATTTGAACAGCTATCAAATGCAAAGAAGGTAGAACAAATGCTGATTCTCATCCTGCTAGTCAACTGGTAGCATTTGAGTGGAAGGCTAAGCAAGCATACCAGTGGTGAGGTAGTCCCAGCGGTGAAATCCAATTACCTTCGCTACCGGTTCGGGATGCACACACATGCCTCTTCTGTGCACACGCAGAACCTTCTGCGCATGCACAAATGGTAAAAAAAATGGGACGTCCTAGCGGGTGGACGGAGCCTCCTACCACCGGCGCTACCGGTTCGGCGAGCTGGATAGAACGGTGGGGGGGATTTCACCTCTGGGTAATCCCCTCTGTAAGGTGAATTGGTTTATATTTCTTACATAATTATAACAATGGTGTCTACATAAAAAATAAATGCACTTCCACTTTTTGAGGATGGGTGAGTGGATAAATAATCATACTGGTTTTTGGTAAATGCAAGAAGACAAGATCTCCTTTAACTGTTTCAGTTACGAGTCAATGAGTTTGTCTGGCTATAAGAGTTGCGCAATCAATGTGTAGTTATGACTAAGTAGTGGCAAAGGAGCCAGGCGATTTGTTCTTCAGGAAGTTCTATCAGGGAAATGAAGTACTTATACTGAGATCAAGCACAGACTACGTATTGTAGATGACAAAGACTTATTTTCTGTTATTCCACAGAGTAGGACAAGAAACAATGAGTTAAAACTATAAAGACAGACATTATGAGGAACCTCTTGACAAAATGAGTTATTAACTAGTGAAACAAGCCAGTTCATGAAATGGTGACTTCTCCTTCACTAGAGATCTTCAAACAGAGCCTACATCGTGATCTGTAAAAGCTGTACTGGAACAGGAAAGAGACTGGATGACCTCTAAGTTCCCTTCTTACTCTATGATTCTATGACACTTTACAAAATCCTCTTAATGAGTTAAATTTATCTCTCATTTGCTATCTGCATGCCTATAACTGTGGTGGCGCAGTGATTAGAATGCAGTACTGCAGGCTACTTATGGGGTATTTTAAATTCAGCCGAATTATTTAATTCGTTTTTAATTCATTTTAAATTTTTTGTATTTATGTGTTTTATCTTGTGGCTGTTCACCGCCCTGAGTCCTTCGGGAGAAGGGCGGTATAGAAATTTAATAAAATAAAATAAAATAAATAAATAAATACTTCTGCTGACTGCTGGCTGCCAGCAGTCTGGCAGTTCGATTCCCACTGGCTCAAAGTTGACTCAGTCTTCCATCCTTCCGAGGTCAGGTAAAATGAGGACCCAGATTTTGGGGGGCAATATGCTGACTCTGTTTACAGAGGGCTGTAAAGCACTGTGAAGTGATATATATATATATAAGTCTAAGTGCAACTGCTATAGCTATATATTTTGTTTAAAAAAATTACAGAATAACAGAACACATTTGGAAGGGACCTTGGAGGTTTTCTAGTCCAGCCCTGTGCTCAGGCAAGGAACCCTATACCATTTCAGACAAATGGTTGTCCAATCTCTTTTTTAAAACTTCCAGTGTTGGGGCATTCACAACTTCTAGAGGCAAGTCATTCCACTGATTAATTGTTCTCACTGTCAGGAAATTTCTCCTTAGTTCTAGGTTGCTTCTATCCTTGATTAGTTTCCATTCATTGCTTCTGGTCCATATTAATATAGATATCTACCTATTTATGGACTTGAGCATGATGAAGTAACATAACACTATAACAATGTTGAAACAGTTAAAATGGGTATCCTGGAATCCTTTATTTTTTTCTGATAATTGATTCAAAAGCAAGATTAGACAAACAGTTTATGCTGCCAGTTTGCTAGAACTAATGCTGTCATGCAGCTTTAAATATATATGTATGACAAGGGCAGAGGAGTTAAAAACAAGTTTGGAGGGAGTATCATCATTAGAACACATTGTGCCAATCTCCTAAACTTGGGCAGGACACGGACATCATGGTGCTAGGAATAATATGTTATGATGGAAAACCAGGGCTGCAAAAGATTTCCTCCCTTTTCTGCAAGAAACCGAAAGCTTTGTGAAGTCAAATTAAGGCGTGGGGCTCAGTCAGTTGTCTCTCTCTTCGGCAGGAACATAAAAAGTAGTGAAACTGAATTAAAGAGCTGCTGCTGGCTCTTTGCAACTACTGTAATCTCTTCCGCAATTAAAAAGGGCAAGCTGCTTTTTCGCTTGCAGTTTCTGCCACCTAGTGGTTACCCTCCCTTAAGCCTCAAAGATTTGAGTGGCAATTTAAAGACAAACAAAAAAGTTCTACATTGCACATGTTTCGTGGATCAGATTCATGGAGTTTAATCTCGAGGAAGGAATATCCTTTATCCATTGCTTTATGGGAAGAGCAAAGGAAAAGGAGAAAACACTAAAAGATGAGAGGGCAGAAAAAAATTCTCTATAAAGTGGCAACCATTAACCACGTAGCAGCTAGATGCAACACCAGCAAGCTTATATAAACAGGTTAATAACATGTGTGATAAGAGGCCTTGTTCTGTGCTTAATCCAGGAGATACAGGTAATTGTCACTCAGCAATGGTAATTAGGACTGGGAATTCCATTGCTAAGTGACAGAGTCATAAAGCAGGGCATCATGTGATTGCACTGATTTATGACGGCAGTTCTGGCAGTCCCAGTTGCTGTCTGTCAGTTGCAAATTCTGCACGGTCAAAGTACCATGCAGTCATGTGATCACTATTTGTGACCTTGTGCCAACATCCCCTTGATGTTGCTTGCCAGAAATCAGCAATGAAGGTTGCAAATGGTGACCGTGTGGGACACTGCAACTTCATAAATGCCACAATTGGACAATTGTGGTTGCCAAGTGCCCAAACTGAGATCAAACGACTGTGAGGACATTGTGCTGACTGCAACTGTGAGGACCTGTTGTAAGTCTCCTGGTAAAGCATGGTCATAACTTTGAATGGTCTCTGACCAAGTACTTGTTAAGCAAGAAATACCTCCGTGCAATTAAACAACCTAACAAATTCCAGATCAGTTGTTTAATTATGAAATTAGTCTTTGTAATCCCTTAGTTCAAAGAGAGCAATCTTGAGGGGGTTTGACCTTTGTGTCTCAGGAAATTGAAATGATTCCCACTTGAATATTACCATTTCTGATGTCAGACACATGTCCATCTTCTATTTCAAAACCTAGCCAACACTAGCTGATATCAAAAAAGCTAAGTAGGTTGGTGCTTGGATGGGAAACCATCAAGATATCCCAGACCTATAGACTAGACTGGGAAGTCAAAAACCATCCTGTGTGCAACAGACAGTTATTGTATTTTTTCTAAGAAAACAGCATGGATATGCTGTCAATAGGAGTTGAACTTGTCTCAACAGAGAAGTTGACATTGTCTGTTGCTGAGTAAGGGCTGATCAGTTTGTTCAGTGTCTGCATATTCCTTATTGGAGGATCAGCAGGTCCTCTGAAAGTATGGATAATATTTTTTGTGATGATGATGTCAGAGTAGATATAGAGCAGCGGTGAAATCCTCTGAAGTCTGCTACTGGTTCTGTGAGTCTGCTACTGAGTGCGCGCCCACGCGGCACTAAAAAAGGAAGCCTTCCGAGTTTGCAAAGGTAAGTAGAACAGTGGGGGGGGGGGAAATCTGCTGTGCCATGCAATTTAGATTAGCTAGAAAGCAGGAAATCCAACGATTCTAGCTAATATAAATTGCATGTCAACAGCTGATCGTCCCCCAGCTGATTGTCGGAAATACTGGTTCACCTGAACTGGTAGCATTTTTTACTACCAGTTCGGGAGAACCGGTCCGAACCAATAGCCTAATATAGAGATATCTTTTCATCATCTTTATATTTTGTATAACTCAAGGTGGCATATATAACACTCCCGCTACATGAGCAGTGGAAGGATATGCAGATATAAGCATAAAACACTGAACATATTTGCCCTTCCACTAAAGTGAAGCAACCTCAGCTCAGATCGGTTGGACTACTGGCACTAACAACATTTTGGTTTCAGGGAAGAAACCTTTACCAGAAGGGAAACTAGAAACTAGAAAGCAAAATTGGAATAAAAGATTTTATTCAAAATCTGTGCATGTCTGACAGAGATATACCAGCTGAACATTTTTTTTTTTTTGCAGCAAATAAGAACTAGATGGTCTCTAGGGACTCTTCAATTCTGTAATTCCATTTGTTTCCAGAAAAACTGCAGGATCACAAACTCTAATGTAGGTCTTTTCCCAAAAAGTATTTTTATTTTGTGATTGTGCTGATTCAATATGGAAAGGAGGGAATTCAGGACTCCCTGTGCAACTCTTCTGCCTCATTCACATCACTGAGAATTCATTGTCCTTCATTTTGTGAGCTTCCTATTTTCTTCGTTCTTCTTTCTACAGAAAACTATGAAGAAGGGTTTTTTAAAAAAATAGAATTGCTGCAACAATTCATAACTGGTAGCGCCAGAAGTCTTTGCCTCCCTCCTAAAGTTGTAAGGAATACTTACAGCGGTCTGAAAACAGCAGAAAAGCTGAGTGAGGAAAGGATGGTTTCTTGCTAAAGTCAGGATCCGTTTCTCTGTTAGGGTACACTCCACGTCATCATCTTGAAGAATGACATCTTTCTTCAGCACTTTGATGGCATAAAGATATCCCGTCTCTTTCGTTTTAGCCAGCATTACCTTAAAAAGCAGGATTTTTAATTGAAAGCAAAACAAAACAAATAATTACGGAAGGATCTCAGAAACAGCAAGACATGATCTTTCCTGTTAACAGGTCAAACCTAGGTGTATTTGTTCAGAAATTAAGTAGTCCTCGATGTATGACTGGTTGCTTAGCAACCACTTGAAGTTACGACAGTTCTAACAGTTAGGGACTCCCACAGTAATGTGACTGCATTTCAGGCACATTTATGGCTGCCTGCAAAGCTCCACAGTCACATGACCATGCTTTACAATGGTTTTTGCTGAAAACCAGCATTTAATTCAAACCACACCCATAGCAAACCATTGGTTCATTTAATGGCTGCAGTGATTCGCTTAACAACTGCCACACAAAGGTCATAAAAATAGGTCAGTCACATGGGGGACCCAATTTACAACTTTCATGAATTATGAACAGGCTCCATTGCGATTGTAACTCAAGGACTACCTGTAAGTCACATGACATTAGATGGGGCCTCTCTGAATAAAAAAAACACATTGGCTGAATTCACACAGGATGCTGAGTTAGAAACAAGGCTTATGCTACTTTATTTGTTTTAAGGGACACAACAGCCTTTAAATGACATGTTAGAAATTGCATATGAAGAGCAATTGAGGCCTCAGACTTTACTGAGAATTTAGTGAAAACAATGTAAAACACAAGAATAAATTTTAAAAACCCTTCATTTTGATTTAAAGTTAATAGCAGAAAGCATCTTCACAATTTAAAGGGACATGATGCAGTGTCTCTTAATGAATGTTATGCCCTTAATGCTATTTCTTATAAAGTTGGGGGAGCTGAGCAGATGTCATGGTTCAAAACAAAAATCCTGACAGGACTGCAATTTTGTACTTCTGTTATAAGAAATAATTTAGAAGCCTCTAGGTTTTAAGACAAAAATCAAACTAAAGTTATAGATTAATGTAATATATGAATGCAACTAAACCTTCCTTTAATGCAAATTCATTTCAAATAACCAAAAGTTACACCAGTATGGAAACTTCAGATCTCCACAGAACCACTTACCTTTCCAAAACTGCCTTTCCCCAGCACTCGGATGAATATGAGATCTTCAATTTTAAGCCTACTGGCTGAGACTTCAACCATCCCACTGCCATCCTTTGTGCTGTCTTTTTTCTGGCGTCTCAACGTTGATCTTGAGACTAACTTCTGTAAATATGAGTCATGAGTTGTTTTTACAAAACAGCACTCAAATTTTCTCTGTGCCTATGAAGTTCAGAAACTCAATTTTGAAAAGAAAACCATAACACTTTGAACATGGCATGAACAGGAGGAGGCAAGATGTACCTACCTGAGATTTTGGACATTAAACCTCATAAATAAATTAGCTTGACCTAATGGGAATTGTAGTCCAAAATATTTAATTCACCCAGCTCGGCTTTAAAGAGTAGAACTATTCTTTAGAGGAGAGGGGAGGGACAGATATGAATGGAAAATGTATTGTATGTTTGTTGATTAAAGCAAATGTGCAATAAACTGAATTGACTTGAATTACAAAATGTATTATACAAGTATGGAGTTGAAGATTGATTTCTGAATACAGTAGGAGTGGTATATGACGGAAATAAACCATGCATGAGAATTCACTGAAAGCTCAATGCTTAGCTCAACAATGAATAATGAATAAAGACAAGGGTGTCTGATATCCTCTTGATGGTGTAATGAATGTATGAATAAATGTATAAGGAATGTTTATGGTGACAACTGCTTAAGGACATGAACCTAGGTGGATTTTGTATGTAGATGATGAATTGTTCTTGGCTGAAAAGCTGAATGGTTCCCAGAATTATGGAACAAATGTATGCAACTGGAAATTAAAAACTAAAAGACCAAGGCAGTAATATTTGGCAGATAAATGAAATCAATAATTGCAAATTATATCAACATGTCAAAAACTAAGGCAAATAAGTAAATGTGTGCCCTGTACCTTGAGAGAATGTTTACTAAAGATGGGAGAAGAAATAAGACATTTTAAGATGTGAAAATGCTGGTAGAAACGTAGCAGGGTGATGTGCAGCCCATTGCAAGGAATGAATGTTTGTTTTAAAAAAGTGAAAATTGTTGGACAGAGAAGCAGTTTTCTCTACTTTGTCACACAGAGGTGAGAATTGGATATACCAAGAGAAACATAGAAGTAAAGTTGAATGTGATGAAAATGGTATATTTAATAAATGTGTGTAGTAAAACAGGGATGGATGGATGGATGGATGGAGGGAGGGAGGGAGGGAGGGAGGGAGGGAGGGAGGAAGGAAGGAAGGAAGGAAGGAAGGAAGGAAGGAAGGAAGGAAGGAAGGAAGGAAGGAAGGACAAATAAATTTGGACTGAGCACCAAAGTGAATAATTAGTGTAAAACAAATAGACTTAAGTGGTTTGGATATATAAAGAGAATGAATGAAGATCAAATTACAAAACGAATACTTGAAGGAAGAGCGAATGGGTGGACAGGAAAAGGAAGTTCAAGAAAGTCATGATTGAGATGGGAAGTTTAAAGAACAACAGAGAAGGGAAGATGTAAAATTAGTTTCCAAGGATAGAAAGTCAAGGAGCGGAATAGAAAATAGTCTTGGTTTAAACTATATTAGTTATGTTTCCTTTTCCTTTCCTTATTACTTTAATCTCTTTGGGCTACTATTTCATATTCCTTTCTGTTGTTTACCCTGAAAGGGAATAACATGCTGTCTATGCATGAATAGTCATGGTTCTGATCTCATCCTGTAGTGCATAAACTGTAAGCAACATATGTACACGGGTGTTTTTTTAAATCCAATTCACTGTGAAGAAGAAGAGGAGGGAAAACCAAGTTCTTACCCCATTTGGAGAGATATTTCCAGGTTGCAGTCCCATACATGCCAACGTCTTGGCTAGTTCTGCTGCATTCACTCCGCAGTTTGGAGCTACATTGGATTCGCACCGAATGTGTACATTTATTTTACACACTGAAAGTGAAAACAAAAGTTTTCAAACATTATTTCTGCCAGGGGCTGACACCGGAACAAGAACAAAACGATGCTTCTTTCCTAATGACAGCATGGGAATGCATGAGAGAAATCCAGTTCTTATTCTCTCCATTTGAACCACAGATCAAGGTTTGTTTATTTATTTATTAATCGTCTTTCTATGCCACCCACACTCCGAGGACTCTGGCGGCTTACAACAATCAACAGTATACTAAATAGCAAATTGCCCCCAACAATCTAGGTCCTCATTTTACCCACCTCAGAAGGATGGAAGGCTGAGTCAACCTTGAGCCGGTGAGATTTGATCTGCTGATCTGCTGAACTAGCAGTCAGCTGAAGTAGCTGCAGTACTGCACTCTAACCACTGCGCCACCTCGGCTCTTCTTTATGCAGAGTGTTCAATCATACCACATGAATCCAAGCAGTTGTGCTTTATTTAACCATTGTTAAACAAAACACAGGATGTATGCTACACACCAGTTTGATGAATATCATTTTACCTTCCCTGTTTAATGCTGAATCTGCAACACAAGAGTTAAGTACAATATCCCTCACACAGTGGTGAAATCCAATTTTTTTTACTACTGGTTCTGTGGGCGTGGTTTGGTGGGCATGGTGTGGTTTGGTGGGCGTGGCTTGGTGGGCATGGCAGGGGAAGGATACTGCAAAATCTCCATTCCCACCCCACTCTGGGGCCAGCCAGAGGTGGTATTTGCTGGTTCTCCGAACTGCTCAAAATTTCCGCTACCGGTTCTTCAGAACCCGTCAGAACCTGCTGGATTTCACCCCTGCCCTCACAGATCATCACTCAGCTACTGTTCATTTAGTTCAGTGGTCTCCAAACATGACAACTATAAGACTTCTGGACTTCAATTCCCAAAAGAAATTCTGGGAGTTGAAGTCCACAAATCTTAAAATTGCCAAGTTTGGAGACTCCTGATCACTTCTCCTGGACTTGTTCCATATCTGAACAGTTCATACTTAACATCTATGGAGATTCTCAGTCATCATACTTATTTACAATACTTTTTGTACATACTTACAAACCCTCAGTTCATACTTAGCATGCAAATCAATATGTACCTTAATTGAACACAATATGGAAATAAAGAATATCAAAGTTCCTTTCCTTGCCATTTCTATCCTTTATTCTTATCAAACATGGGTATTTCAGCAGTCCCTAGAGCCCCAGGAATTTGGTAGTGAAATTAGGCAGCACATTGCTGGGAAAAAAATGAAATCCAAACAGTGTACAAGTTTTCACTTATACACAACTGGGGAAAAACCTAGTTCTACCTAGATATGCTGATATCCCAGCACTTCCAACTTCAGAATAACAGGGTTGGAAGAGACCTTGGAGTTCTTCTGCTCCAACCCCCTGCTCATATCCTATACCACTTCAGACAAATGGTTGTCCAAGCTCTTCTTAAAAATCTCCAATGTTGGAGCACCCACAACTTCTGGAGGCAAGTTGTCCCATTGATTAATTGTTCTAATTGCCGGGAAATTCGTCCTTAGTTCTAGGTTGGTTCTCTCCTTGATTAGTTTCCAACCATTGCTTCTTGTCCTGCCTTCAATATTGTCTCTTTCTGGGTGCTCTGCCAAATAGTGCCCCTGGCCACCTCTATTTTAAAAAAGAAAAAAAAAAAGCTCTGTTGCCTAATCCTGCTCTAGAATATTAGCAAACAGATATGATCTATCAGCAATGCAATGCCTGATAATTCAGGCCTATTTTCATTCCTCTCCCTAATCTCCTCCTTATGAAATATACTACATTTATAGCCAAATCTTAGGGATGCCTAACTAGGTAATATAGGTAAAAACTGGTACCATGTTTTCCCAAAAATAAGACCGGGTCTTATATTAATTTTTGCTCCAAAAGATGCATTTTAGCTTATTTTCTGGTTAGGTCTTATTTTGGGGAAAATACAGTACTAAACACCTCTGTCTGGTTAACTATCTTAACTGACGCTTATTTTGGGGGTAGGGCTTATATTACGAGCATCCTGAAAAATCATGCTAGGGCTTATTTTCCAGTTGGGTCTTATTTTCGGGGAAACAGGGTACATGCCAGTGGTGAAATGTAAAATTTATTACTACCGGTTCTGTGGGCTTGGCTTGGTGGGAGGGTAATGTGACTGGGTGGGCGTGGCCAACTTTTTTTTTTTGTTTTTTACTTTTAAAATCATTTTTTCTATCTACTCTTCGGCTGAAGAGGTTGTTTAAAAATGCTTTTAAAAGGCTCTGACGATCCCAGCTGTGTTGCCTGATCATCAGAGACTTTTTTTCTTTTAAAAAAATTTTTTTTTGCTTTTAAAAGAAAAAAAAGCCTCTGACGATCAGGCAACTCAGCTGGGATCGTCAGCGCCTTTTAAAAGCATTTTTTCGGCCAAAGAGGTTGTAGAAAAAATGCTTTTAAAAATTTTAAAAAACAACCTCTGATTATCGCGCGGCTTAGCTGGGCATGGGAGGGGGCAGGGATTTCTGCTACCGGTTCTCCGAACCACCCACCGCCATCACTACTGGATCGGGCAATCCGGTCCGAACCGGGAGCATTTCACCCCTGGTACATGCAAAATTTGTGCAAATGGTGGGGGGGGGAGTGCAGCCTATTCTAGTGTTGCATCAAGTATGCCCTCCCTACACACATACACACAATTCAGAACAGGAAAACTAAATGAATTCCTCAGAGAAGGACTCTCATCTTTGTGTAGATTTTCAACTTACTTTTGCACTGGAGCCCTTGTCGCAAGATTCCCCAGAGGAGAGAGCCACAGTGATCACAGAAGGTTGGCACTTTGTAATTGTGGATTCTGAACTTGTGTGGGATATTGATTCCAAATCTCTGCTCAGAAAACTGAGGAAGAAAAAGCAGCAAAAGAAGAAAAGTTGGTGATAAGTGATCAAATAATAACGGTTGACCAATCCTTATTTCTCAGCTTGCAGTTCTTGAAGCAAGGCAGACAGAGAATGTTATTCCCCCCCATTTGATAGGTAAGGAAGAAAAGAGAGAGCCAGAGTTTGGGGCTTAAGAGTTTGATTTAATGTTTCTAAAACGTAAAGTCGGTGTCATGAGTTTTCTTCTCACAGCAAATAATTTGGACAGAAGGAATGAATATGAGTTAGGACAAGAAGTTAAAGTTCCAGGGTTGAACTGTGAGGTCCTTAGTATTCTTTGAGTTTGTTTGTTTTCTTGCATTACCTTTATCGATGATGTTACCTATTTGGGCAATGAAATGTCTGCAAGAAGACAACCAAGCCCAGAGAGCACCAAGGACTCCAAAGTTAAATCCTTCCCCCATCACCACTCATAGCTTGTATTTTTGATTCAGCTGGTCCCAAACATGCCAGCTATGGATACTTGTTAAAGCAAAAACCAGGATCTACCATCTCTTCTCACAAAAGAAAGCAAATCAAATCACATCTAGCTTGATTTTGAGGCTGAAAAATGGTTTGCCCAAAACTGAGTAAACCCAGATGCTCTTCCCATCCAATCAGTAAAAATCACCATCTGATTAGCGTTCAGACTTTTAATTGATGTTAGCACAAATTTCAGATAACTTAACAGCTACTCTAAAATAAGGGCAATTTTATGATGGGCTGTCAATCAGTTCAGAGTCAGTTAAATTACTTCTCATTTGTTACTTTCCTGCAAATGTTACAGGCTTAATTAATGCTCTTGTTAGATCTTATATTTTAGGCTGATTTTAACCGTGTTATTGTAATGTAGGTACTGAGGAGTCAATATGAAATGTTTGCATCTACCACTGTTAGTCTTTTAACTGTATTATTTCAATTACTTCTACATCTGAACTCCCCACATTCAGAAAACCAATATTTCAGGGAATTCAGGCTAGATTCTTCCTGATCTAGTTTCTACATGAGGGAATCCTTAACCTGAGAAACATTCAGACCTGCTCTTTCTCATCTCTCTTCTCAAATGATACAATGATCAAGAAAACGGCTGTGTATTTTTCTGAACATGATTCCTGAATTTATCCAGATGGCAAAATAACAATTGTTTCACAAATGCCATGACATAATTCCACATCAGATATAATGCTTCAGCTGAACTCCTATATATTAAAATAAGACAAAAGTTGTAACACATTGGTACAAGCCTGATATCTAACTAAACTGTGAAACTTGAGAACCTGATATAGAACTAAAGTCAAAGTGCATAATATAAGACATAGAGGTAATATGATTAAAAGATAAAATAAATAAAACAAAACAAAACAAAACAAAAAAAGATAAATTGAGCATTTGACAGCATAGGTTATATGTTCTTCGTTCAGACAAACCTCTTTGAATGCTGAGGCTATCGGTACTTAGTACTAAAAGATCATAATAAATATAGGTAGAACAATCATTGGTAATAGTGAACTTGTAGCAGATTTAATTAAGTCAAAGTGTTGTCAATGAATCTTGCTGGCTATTAAACAACAGTTGGTTTTGCTGATCACCTTGACCAGCTAAAGGATAGCTGAGATTTTAAAAAGTCATTATGGTCTGGAGATCAACTTAATGAAAGTGTGATAAATTTGTGCTGTTGATCTTGATACTACTGACAATAAAAATGCATGCAGGATGGCTTCAGTGGCTTCTGATTTACAGTAATAAAGACATTCATTATATGGGTCTTCCAGAATTTGCAGGGCATTACAATGTGCAAACATGAGAGCTCTTTGAAATTTTGGCATGGTGATCAGATTAAGCTATCTACTAGGCTTATGACTGGTAACTTGTTTCCTTAAAAAGGCATTAGGATGAATGAGGCTCTGCTCAGTTTGGTGCTCAAATGTATTCATTGTCTGAGGTTATCCCTGGCCAAGTCATATCCCATTGTTTTTAGTGCATTAGGAGAGCAGCCATAGTGGTACAGTATCCTTAGACCATCTACTCCATTTCATGATGGTCACTAGAACATAGTAGGCTCACAAAATGTAAAGACTGCTTACTTCTTTGCAAAACAGACATGGCATTTAAAAACTAACAGGGAACTTCTTGGACTTAAGCGAATTTCAAATATAATTCTTCAATTATAACTTAATTAAATTCCATAATTAAATATAGAATAATACTTGAATAATTTCAAATATTCTTCTCATCCTTCCTATTACCTATCTCCTTCTACTCATGACTATAACCTTGTTGCTTGTATCTTTATTATTTATATTGTTTTATTTAGTCTCCTAGTATGATTTTGATTGCTTATTTAGAATCCTATGACTATTACTAAGTGCTTTATCTTATTATTCTTGATTAATGTATTTTTTATGTACACTGAGAGCTTATTCACCGAAGACAAATTCCTTGTGTGTCCAATCACACTTGGCCAATAAAGAATTCTTATTATAAAATCTAAAAACCAATCAAGGTGAATATTTTCTTCTAACAATTTACTTGAATTAACCAATTATGGTAGGGCCTTAAAGTTATAAATAAAACAGAATAGCAGAACATTCTCTTTCTCTGCACTTGGTTACCTTCTTTTAATTGTTGCCATGACTGTACACCGCCCAGTCACATTAAGTTCAATGAATGGCCATATAAATTTGTTAAATAAATAAATACATTTGATGTTATCTTTATTAGCACTGATTGGATGATACCTTTACCCTTTGCATTGCCACATCAATTTTTCACAAACCAACGGAGTTAAGTACCAGGTAAATAGAGGCATGAAGCTACTTCAAACATCAAATAAAGCATAATGTAGATAATGTATTATCTAAGGAATAATACATTATGTCATAAAGATGCAGTTGACAACATATTTAATTAGTCAGATGCTACTGAGTTAGGTTTTGACTCCTGTATGTGTTATCCATCTTGATCTGTCTTTAGTAATTCGTAGCTATTCCAAAACCATTCCCGTAATCCCTTTGGTCCGGAATTAACAACATGCAGAACTACAAATGTATAACTGTGACTTTACCTTCATATCCATCTTCTTTTTATTATTCTGGCCCGTGCAAGCTGTAACTATGAGATGGTGACAACGCTTGTGCACAACACACGTGCAAACTGGAAAAGAAGGCAGAAAAGGGAAACAATGGAAACTATCAGAAACTAATACAGAAAAGTAAGATTTGCTCTTAGATGGACTAAATTTTTACTTCCTCTGATCCAAACAATCTGGGGTATGTGCAAAGAAGGACAATAAAAAAAGGTCAGGACTGGAAATTTACCCTTTAAGGACTGAAAGGCAGAAAAAAGTTTAAAATATTTAGTGAGCCACAAAAAAGTATTCGTTCTAATCTCCCATTCACTGCAAGCAGATTGTGTAAAAAGGAGAAAATGACAAATGTGTAGGGCATAATGTAACCCTAACAATAACTTACTGTACCTTGGCACTGGTATCCCTGCTTTCCAAATACTCCCCTGTTGAAGATAAAGCAGAGGCAACATATGACTCAGGATGAGATCAAACACTTAAAAAGTAGGTCAGGTAATCTGACACAAGAACAAAACAAAGGTTGAGAGGCAGCTGCGAAGTTCAAAATGTATATTGTATCAGCAACATGGGGAGAGGTAAACTCAGCTTAAACTCTAAGAAGACAAAGTTATTGTTCATCCAGAAACATTTAGGCACTCTGGAAACTTTAGTACTAGTGATGGAATCATTCTCCCTTTAACAGAGCAGGTATGTCACAGGATTCATAGTTAGTGTTGGAAGAGCAAGTGGAAGCTGTGACTCAGGGATACTTTGACCAGCTTTGGCTGATATGCCAAGTATGTCTCCTTATCCTCTCCATCCTTGGTGAGGATAAGGCATGCCTTTTCCACCCTATCTTGACTACTGCAATGTACTAGGTGAGGCTGCCTTTGAAAGTAACTCAGAAGCTACAGCTCACACAGAATGCAGTAGCCAAATTGTGGGTGGGTGGAAGCTGCTATTTCAGGATAGCACTTATTTTGCAATGCTGCACCCAGTTTAAAGTGTAGGGTATTACTTATGAAGTCCAATATGGCACAACACTGGGTTTCATCAAGAACCGCCTTACCCAAAAGGATTCTGCCTTCCTGTTTTGAACTATGAGGGAGGCTTGCTCAAGGTTATCAGAGCTGAAAGGGATGTGAACTAGAAGGAATCTCTGCAAGACTGCCCCCATAAGGTAGAACATGCTCCTTCATTCTTGGTATTCCAAAAATCTCTAAAGGGCATTTAACTGGTGGACACAACACAACCGTTTTCTTTAGTTAAGTAAAACCAATTAGAAATGGTGAGTTTTCATTTATGGGTTGCTTATTTTGCTTTCATTGTTAAATGACCAGAGTCAATTGATTAAGGTAGTATAAACATTTTGTAAATACATTTTAAAATACATAAAATCCAAGTTTAGATGATGAATCTTACTTCCAGTATTAATAAAACTCAGAATGAATTCCGACTAAAATTTATAATCAAAATTGTAAGAGAAAAATTTAAATACAAAATTCAGTGCAAACTCTTAGTAGGATGTAAGCACCACAAATCTCCATGAGATTAATCTCAGGAACATGTGCATCTGTCATAGCCTATCAATCCCATCCTTTCCACAAGAATTGAGATAGAAATCCTGTTAGGTTTGATGTAGCTTACATAGAAATAGATGAGCTTTGGCTAATAGCCACAGTGTTGTTTTATTTTAATGATCAAACTCTATGAACATACTTATGTAAATTGTAATAAATGTCCCTATATTGTACTAACTGGCACCCAAAATGTTTCAGCCCACTCCAACAAACAGTTTGCAATACAAATTTCTTTCTTCAGTTAATGAACAACAAGAAACATATTTATGAAAACATGCACTCATTGCTTTGTGTTTTAAAAGTGAGAGAATTTCACAAAACTGTTCTGAGTGGAACTATTTAGGACATTGCAAATATCATCCAATAAGCAGTCTGCATTATTAACATTTGATGGAAAGATCCATGCAATTGTGTTGACATATACACTGGAGGCATTTTAGGAGCATAACATGGATGGTAAGAGGGCTTTAAAGTTTGACCTGCTCCTCTCCTCTTTTGCTAATCAGATCTAGCCAACTGAACACATAAAAGAGCTTCCATGAGATCCAATGGAAGCTTTTTCACCAATGCAAACAGAGGCAAGGGCTCAATCTGGGCTGAGATTGTCATGGGGAAAAGGGCGGGGGGAGTTAAAGCCCTAAATCTCCATGCCTGAGTCCTAATTCCATACAGTTATTAGTTGTGAAATTAATGGCTTGACTTGTTTGCTCCAACCAAAATTATTTTATACGTATTAGATAATATATAATTAATAGCCAATGATTGTAATAAAACCAGATGATGAGAATTTAGCAGAATAACAGAGTTGGAAGGGACCGTGGAGGTCTTCTAATCCACCCACTGCTTAAGCAAGAGACTCTATACCATTTCAGACAAATTGGCTGCCCAGTCTCTTCTTAAAAGCCTCCAGTGATGGAGCTCCACAACTTCTGAAGGCAAGCTGTTCCACTGTATCAACCATTTCAATCAAAGTAACTTGCATGTTTTAAAATGAAAGCTACAACTCTCTGTTGCTGAACCCTAAACTTCAGATCACATTCTACAGTATCTACATTGATTCCACTTTCTCCACCAGTACCGGAAAGTACCTCCAACTCTTCCCCTGCAGAATTGATAGTTTGCATAGCTTTGATTAAAGCTGCTTTCAGGGAAAGTATCAGATCTTAAGTCAGTGATTACTCTTGTTCTAAACTCTCTTTTTGATCCGAAGAATAAGTGTTTTGGTAGCCTGCTCTTGACTTGTTTAGGGATTAGGCTGCTCATTCTGAATTCAGCAGGTGGCAGCAGCTGGCTTTAAATATGTGGCCCAGAAATTAAGCAGGGTCAGGGCCTGGTTAGTACCTGGAGGGGAGAATTCCAGAGAATGCCAGGGCTGTAAAACAAAGCTGGGGTGTAAACACACATCCTGGAAGGAGGCAATTCTAAATCACTTCTGAACTGTGGCCAGGAAACCACATGGATGTATTTATAAAGTCACAAGGAATTGAGATCAATCCAAAAGGAACTTTATACTTAGTAAAAGGGGCAGGAATTATGGAAGCAACTTCCTGGGTGAAAGCTCCCATTCAAGCCTGTTTTCATTTCAAGCATACCAGATAAATTCCCGACAGTGTGAGCAGTACGTTGGTTGCCGCAAGTATGTTGCCATAAACTTGTGTCCATTGACTTGGTGAACTCTCCTGCGCATGGCCCGTTGGCGTTTCCGTGTGAAGTTTTTAAAGATCCTGTCCCTCTGGAGTGTTCCTGGGAACCCAAAGAGAATGGTTAAACAAGTGAATAAATTGCTGCCTGTCATTCAAATGTCATGACTTCTCCTCTATTGCTGTTTTCCTTTAATTTTCCACCCATGTTTATCCCAAAGCAATTTATCTTTAGCTTCTTCCATTACTTTGCAACATCCTGTTTCCTTTAGTTATCACTTCATTCTCCCTGTTAACCTGTTAGCAAACCCTAAAGCAAGGTTCCTACTAGACTGCGTGGGTTTCTTCTAGCCAATCTTATTTTTAGTATCCTTTTCCTTTGGTTTCCATCTCCTATCTGAAGTCTCGCTTTCTCTTTCGTACATCAAAATGCAGAGCTTGATTTAAGTGTAGGCACGTGGCATTATGAAGGCCAGTTTTACTCTTTTGGGTGCTAAAATGTCTTAGATCACAACTGACAAAGTCGTATCCTTTAAGTTTCATCAAGGTATCCTTAATTCAGGAAGTAGCAACTCCAATCTTTATTCCATATGATGTATTCTGAATATTCAAATATATCACAAAAAGTATGAAGTATTTTGAATATTCAAATATATCACCAAAATCCAAAACATTTTACAGTACCTTATATTTATTAGGAGTTTCCTTGATTTTTTTTTAAAAAAACCTTGAATTTATATTAATGTTGTTATTGATTAAATAAACTCAACTACAGTTTTCCTGAACTGAATGATTAGTCTTTTTTCCCTTTAAAAATTTTTTATCATTAATTTCTTCCAGTTCTTCAAATCAGCTATTTTAATATCCACATGGTGCATACTTCCTACTTCTACATGTCACATGGTTTACATGTTGGATATGGTTTCAAGGCCTTCTGTCCAGTGAATTAATTTATAATCCAATTATTTTTAGAAGGAAAGAGAAATGTTATCTCTCTCTCTCCAAATTACATACAACAACCCCACAAAGGAGACAATTCTAGGAACAGTGAGTTGGTGATGAACTTAAACTGGCATTGGGTGCCCCAGAATCTTTCCAAGACATTGAGAGGTTTGGGGGCATATTCACTTGAACCCTCACCACTGCCATCCAATTTGCTCTTGATATATCTTATCTTGATATATTTTTTTGCTCCATTGTCTTTGACCATTGAAAATAACAGCCTAATGAAGGTTGGAAAGTTCAAAGACTAAAACAATTTGCCAGTATAGTTTATCTGATTAATTTTGCTGCCGTGAATGAAAAGTCTGGATTCATCTCATCATTTCCAAATTCTGAACTATACTTCACATAGTCCGCCACCTTGTAAGAGGTCCAGGCCCACTGACCCCATTGAAAAAGACTCTGCTAGTCTCTATTATATTTTGTAAGATCAAGGCTGGGACTATGAACATGCGAAATTTTCAGCAAGAGCAGAATCTAATTCTGTAACATTCGGTAATTCGGTAACATTGTACTGCAAACTAGGGCATACAAAACCTTTGCCAGACCAATTCTCAAATACAGCTCGTCTGCCTGGAATCCACACTGTATATCGGACATTAATACAATTGAGCGGGTTCAGAGGTATTTCACAAGAAGAGTACTCCACTCCTCTGCTCACAATAGAATACCTTATGCCACCAGACTCAAAATTTTGGACTTGGACAACCTGGAACTACGCAACCTATGGTCTGACCTAAGCATAGTACACAAAATTGTCTGCTACAACCTCCTACCTGTCAACGACTACTTCAGCTTCAACCTCAATAATACACGGGCAAACAATCGAGGTAAACTGCTCCAAACTCGATTGCAGAAAATACGACTTCAGCAACAGAGTGATCAATGCCTGGAATGCTCTACCTGACTCCGTTGTTACATCCTCAAACCCCCACAACTTCAACCTCAAACTGTCTACCGTAGACCTCACCCCATTCCTAAGACGTCCGTAAAGGGACGTACATAAGCACACCAGTGTGCCTACCGTCCTTGTCCTACTGTCCCCATTTATTTGTACTCATTTCCTGTGTTCATGTCCATGTTTATACTTATACTTGTTACCTTGTACATGTTTGACAAACAAACAAACAAACAAACAAACAATAAATAAATAAATAAATAAATAAAGCTGCAGACCATGCCTAGTGAATGACACAAAGAGCAGCCACTGGTCTTATTGATAATAATGTCCGGTAAAGGAATTTGGAGTGGATCTTTGGGAGGGAATAATAAAGCTGTTAAGGGGTGTGGGGAGGAAAGACTGAACCACTATGAAGGGTTTGGATAAGAAATTACAGGGAAATTACAGTTCAGGGGAAGGATGTATGAAAGAGCAACTCAAAATAGCCCCCCTTTCATTTTCTTTGGTATAAAATGGAAAAGTGAGAAGTTTGGAACAGGCTTTCAAGATTCTGCTCATTTGACCTATAATAATGAAGCAGCATTCTTGGAATTCCTACAATATCTGCTTCTTGATTCGGCCTACCTGGAAGGGCTGACCTGTCCCTTCTTAGGAGGTTTGATATACATGGATGTGTTAGGAAACCCTGCAAGAACTTGCACATCTCCATTCTGTATTCACAAATAGCACCCCAAAATAGCCAGCAAGATCCCTGTTGATGGGGGTTGAGGCCAAGCCATCCAGGCTCAGGAAAAAGGACAAAGTTTTGCTTACTGCCGATGTCTCCGGGTTCAGCCTTCAGTTTTCCACACTGAAGTGCTTGGTACGCATTTATTGTTTCATAGGTGAATTTATAGAGCAAGCAGAAGGAAATAATTAAACTACTAGTTAAAGCCACATAGATTCAGCTTGATTCTACAGTGGTTACCATCCTGCTTTTAAAGTGTTAGTTCTATATTTGAAAAGCTGACAGGTACAAGTCTGGATTTTGGTGTGGCCCATCTACAGAAGGAAACTGAAGATGACAACCCTGGCTTGCAGTCTTTCCCCTACTAGGGCAAGATGTCTTTATTTCTGTTCCATAATAATAATAATTTCTCATTTGGTACTGATTTCTCATTCGGTACCCGAATAAAATTTGCATAGGAAAATTTCATGCAAACTATATTCCCCCTTTTCTCCTTTTCAGAAATGTGGAAGTGGCCATTCTATTCTGTTCTCTTCATAATCTGGTTTCCCATGTAAAAAATTTCCCACAGTTGCATAAGTGAGCAAACTAGATTTTTCTTCCTCCCAGATCCATGGCAGGTCAAAGGATAATTATGTCTAGCATTCAACATTTCATTACAATACTCCTAACTTTGCAAAATGTACAAGGTGACCAGGACGCCAGTTTGTTTTTCTTTCTTTTAACAGCACCTCCTGTTTTTCCCCCACCCCACCCCCAAAGCAGCACAGCTCTTTCTGCAGAGGCTGCTTCTCCTTTGCAGCACCTTCCTGGAATAACCACACTACCACACATTTTTGCTTCTAAATGAAAGACCAAGAGGCCTGGCCACTTCATGCATTTTCAAATGTGGGTCTGAACTCTCCTCCTCCTGTGTTACTCCTTACACATTTTCTCCTTCTGACATAATCAACTTTACAATTAGCAGCATGTCTTTGCAGGGAGCATATGGAGCTGCAGTTTATGCATCATTCCTTTGTAACTTGTTTTATTCCAGGTTTCAAGTTCATCCCAGACTTCAGTTGGTTGCAACTGTCTGATACCAAAACCTTGCAGAAGGTTGAAATGACTCAGCAGCCTTCAGTCCTCAATCTCTTTATACTCCCTTCGATCCTTGTAGAATTGAATTGAATGGCATACACAAAGCTTCGTTTTCAAGCAGCAACTCAACAGCTTTCTTCAACAAACACGGTGAAGGGTTGGGCTTATTCTGAATTGAAAACAGCACCGCCTACTCCTGTGTCTTTACAAAAAGACACAGGAATAGCTGCTCCCCTCCTGAGTCACTAACTTTCTTCTCCTGCAACATCCTGGATTTGGAACCCAGTGCCAAAAAAAGCCCAACCCAGGCTAACGCAATGGAACGCTGTAGTGAGATTTCTATATGGAAATAAGACTGTAATACAAGTTTCTCTAGTTACACATTGTTACTGTATACTTTCTTCCTCTCCCGCGCTCTCCCACAAGCAGAAGAGTGGAAGCAGAAATGCTTTTCTCCAATTTGGATTCATATGGAGAATTCATGGTTTGGGCAAAACCTTTTAACTCAATCCCATCTCTAAACTATAGCAGGGTTTTTTTTTTCTTTTATAGAAACATAGTTCTTTCTTTTTTTTAATAATGACATTCAGGCTGTCCACAATCACATCATCCTGTCTACTTCCTTTCTTTTGTAAAAGTCTGTCCCTTCCTGTTCAGGATCTGCTACAGAAAAATTGGGGTGGGGGGAGGGGCAGAATAAAAATTATTTTGGAGCTCTCCTTTGAATAATTCTTTCCATAAGAAATGGAGATGTAGAGCAATGTGTACTGAGTGTGTTGGTACATGCATAAATTTCCAAGTTGGTAGAAAGTGAACTGCAGGATATTACAAGGTAGTCTTTAAATTAGAGATTGTGGCTTGCAAAGAATATTGTATGTGTGCTTGAGGAAAACCTGGGCTTTAAGCTAAGACTGGTAACCAAATCTATAGCTTTTCTATCTTACTTAAAGAGTAAGAAAGGAGATGGATGCAAATGGTAGGAGTAAGTAAATAAATGAAATGCATCACGAGAAAGCTTCCATTCATCAAAGCTATGATTAGTGATGGAAATCAATCAATGACCTTTCTAGCAATGGCATATGGAATAGTGAATTAACAAATGAAAGGAAGAAAAAAAAGATATCCCATGTATCTGTGAAATTAAGAGGAAAGCAAAGGGTAAGTCTGAAAGAAAATAGCCTGAACTTTTTGGAGTGGCACTGATGAATACCTGCAAGGAGGTAAGATGTAAGCATAAGTATGAATGAAAAGGCTACAGAGTATGGCAAAAAATACAAACTGACATCATCAAGGATATAAAGCAGGTCCACACTAATTATTGATGATACCAAATCTGTGGTAGAACAATCCATAACAATTAAAAAAAATCACCATAACTAAAACTCCCATCAAAGTTCACCCAACCCCTTTTGCAAGATGACCTTCAATCACCAAAGGCCTTCCAGAAGAAGGCTGTCCTCACTGTTTTCTAGATGGCCTGAGCCAAGGGGGTTAGTCAGGGAGACACTCTGGGAGAGTTTCCCTATGGAGAAATGTCAAATAGATCACTAACTAATTGCAATTTCACATTAACCATGATAAATGCAATACAATGTGTTTGTTAACTTGCAGAGAAGGTAGGAGAAAGAAGCACTGAAGAGGGCATGAGACAGTAGGGCAAGCTTATTTTGGCAGTAAAAAAATGTTGCTATGGTTTCAGTCTAGGGTACAATAAAGATTCTAAATTAACCATACCTTGTGGTTTGTCTGGGAAGTTTCAAAAAGCCCAACTAAGAGGGAAACTGACAGCTAGATATGTGAGCAAGTCCCCAGTTCAGATCTTCCTATGAATTACAAATCTGCTTAGTAGGGTCTTAGCCAACCACTGTTCCTCAGCTATCCTATTATGAAGATAGGACTCCGTGTTCTGAACCCAACGTAAGGGTTACTGAAGATGTCCAGTACAAGTTTTTCTCCATTCCAACAAAGCATGCATCATTTGGCAATGATAACATTCTTCTGTTTATTCAAGTTTTACATCTGTTGCAATTGGAGCTTAATGTCATGCTATGGTGTGTGTGGAAGTATTCGTAGTAACAATTACTAGACTAGAGAGAAAAGGTACAGTATACCTCTTACCTTCCGTGAAGCTGCCTGAGAGGGTTATTGCTATAAATACTTTCCCTTCAGGTTCCAGGTCCACCTGCAAGAGAAGAGAAGAGAAAAGGAGAAATTGTCAAATGTGCTTTGGAAATAGATAGGCCATATTAGATGTAACCCCATTAGTAACAACTTGACAATGACCTGGAAGATAAGACCTAGTGTGGATGCTAAATATTAGATTTGGATCCGAGTTCAGGATTTCACCACAAAAAGTAGAAGCATTTGTCCAATGAGGCAGATTCATCCGAGCAATGAAACAAATGTTGTAATGTTGCACTATAAGTGCCTCCCTTATCTACATGCACGTCACATCACAATGCGGGTACAAAAGTGGTGAAGACTGCATCACATTGCGATCATTTCAGTATATGGTCTCCAAACCCTGTGTATACCCATGCAGAAAATATCTATGTTAACTGCAATCCCATATATCTGCTGTTGCTGTGGAAAGCATTTGAATTTACCCACGCATAAGCATGGGTAAATGCACAGTTTTGTGTTGAAAACTGTCCCTACTTGTCTGTATGTGCATCCACAATTATTTTGTTTTGTTGGTGATCTCGGTAAAAGGGCTGTCTATGCAGTGTCAAAAACATTATGGAAACTTTGAAGGGAGTTTTAATACACCAAATACACTTACATGAACATTTGTGAAGCATATCTTTTGAATAGGTGGCAAAGTCTTAAGCTCTCATACCTGGACCTAAACAATATTTCTGTATTTGATTGATAGCGACTGTAAGCTACGAAAACTCCTGGAGGTTACCCAATAAATATACTGTACTTATCACAGCAAACATAAATCATATATAAACCATTCCCCCAAACAAACAAACAAAAGTAAACCACAACACCCAGATGTCAATCAATCTACAATTGGGTACGTTTGCATTAGAAGTTAGAATATCTTGATTGCCAAACTTCAGATTCACACACAATATTTCAAAGAAAAGATCAGCGTGCACTGTTTAAGTCCATACAAATTTACATCTCGAGTCAAGATGTGTCTATTCCTCAAGTGGTTGAGATCTTAAAGCACTCTCTACTCGCTTCGCTCACACGCGTGCCACTTCTGCACATGTGCAGATCGTATCTGATGACGTCCAGGCAGGTGGGTGGAACTGGGGCGAACCGGTAGCAACCCACCACTGGTATAGATATAAAGAGATATAGATATAAATACAGATATAAAATTATGGCTCAAATCTCTTTGCCACTGTTTTGAAGTTTAGATAAAAACACAACCCAAAGCAATTATATTTCTGCTAAAGAAAATCAGTACTGTATTTGTTTTCCACAAAAAGGTCATGTTTTTTAACAATTCTTTATTCAAAGATCACAGAATTGGGAGTTTTGTTTTTCATTCCTTTTATAGCAATTCCAAAAACATCTGCTGAAATTCACATCACCCCATCACATGCCTTCTATAAAAAGCTCCCTCCTTTTCTTCTTGATTAAAAAAATGTGACGGCTAAATGTAAATATAAATCTAATGCACCACGTGTAACATTTTGCAACAATTAAAATGGTCTGAAAATAGGGTTCTCTGGAAAGGTGACTCAGTGATTTCCAACAGCCATTCCTCGTGGCTGAACTTGCAACCAGACCCAAAATAAACATTCTGTTAAGCCATTGTAAAAGGGGAAGGAGCACTCAACACAATTTGCAAAGTCAGTTTAGTGTGGAGAGAAATGCACAGTAGAACCACTTAGAAATACTCAAGTTTCCAAGTATGGTTTGATGTCAGACTTACGGAAACAATTACCACTACCACCACCCCAGACAAACAGATGAGTAAATTGATGAGCTCTAAATATGCAACCAAAGCAGAGAAAAGTTGACTGGAAAATAATTCAGTAGTAATTAAATTGCTTAGTAAATTCCTATTTTAAACCCTATAAACTTCAAGATAAATCATTACAGAAACTTTTTTCTCAGATGAATGCATTTTTTTTCTTCTTTTTCGTAGAAAGTAATGAGGTAATGTCTCTGATATCACAATCCATGCGAGAAATGAGAGAATGGGGGTTTCCAGTGAGGATTCATGGTGAGCTCGACGTCTCTGAAGCATTGTGACAAGATTCACAGCTAGACAGAAATTTCTGGCTGGCCAAGATAAAGGAGAGATCCCAACACCTGCTCCTTGTGAATAAGCAGGAATGGAGGTGTCTGCAATGGGCTCCGTGAGCCAAGTGCCTTGGAGTCAAGGGATTCCCACCAAGTCCCCAGCTTCAGTGTAGCCTTATGGACACAAAGTTCTGCCAAGATTCATTTCTTAAGCAGTTTTGGATATTGCTTTTTAACTACTTTTCAACTATTAAAAACCTTTCAAACAACATATCTTACAACATGCACTAGGAGCTTCCTTTAATCCTTAGAAAAAGAAAATTTAATTTATTTTTAGAATAAACAGTAAATAGCATTGATTTTGGAAAGTTATAAATAAACTAAGGGTCCTGATGAATTTGAAATGAGATTTTGAAATTAATAAGAATCCTTCCCATGGGAAAGTGCTCTTGTTTTGGAATTCTTAAAAGAAAACATGATAGGATGAGAATTTGAATGTTGGACACTAGAAGGAACCAGGAAATACTGAAAGTTACAATTAAAGGAAAAGTATGCTTAAATTTGATTTATTAACACGGAATGGAGAAAAATACTTTAACATTGGACATACTGTAGCATATTTGTGACATATGGATCCAGAAATTAACTTTAAAGGTGTCTACCATTATAAATGGACTGATTTTAAAAGATGTTTTGGAAGAAGAACAAGTTTTACCAGGCAAGACCGAATCTGGTTTGAAAGTGGATTTAAAAACTGACAAGCTACAAGAATGGTATGGGAAAAGATGTTAAACTGGATATACAAATGAAAGTAGCTGATGTCTTAATAATTAAAAAGAATGTACAAATGTCAAACCAAAAAAAGCAACTTGGATAACTTCCTAATATTGGATTTCCAAAAGAGATCTGTTAAAGTTCTGGAGAACTTTATGAGAAGGGATAAAACAGAAATTTAAAAAACTAGCTTTACAATATTATTTGAAGATCAAGGGATTAAAGATCAAGATTATTAAAAATAGAGGAAGACATAAAAAGTGGTTTATTCTATCAAGATTAAAATATTATTTCTGGTAGCCCTTAATGGACTTTTGAGACCAGGACTGAATGACAAGATTTTAAGGATCTGTTTTGATTCAAGATCATATGAAGTGTTAATATCACTTTATAATCCCTTAGTAAAACCTTTAAAATCCCTTAGTAAACTTGGAATAATACATCCAGTTTTGGTCACCGCAATAGAAAAAAGATATTGAGACTCAAGGAGGAGCACAGAGCAGAGGAACGAAGGTGATTAGGGGAGTGGAGGCTAAAACATATGAAAAACGGTTGCAGGAATTAGGTATGTCTAGTTTAATGAAAAGAAGGACCAAGGGTGACTTGATAGTTGTTTTCCAATATCTAAGGGGCTGTCACAAAGAAGAGGAGGTCAAGCTATTCTCCAAAGCAGCTGAAGGCAAGACAAGAAGCAATAGATGGAAAGTAATCAAGGAGAGAACCAAGCTAGAACTAAGGAGACATTTCTTGACAGAACAACTGATCAGTGGAATGAGTTGCCTCCAGAAATTGTGGGTGTTCCAACACTTGAGGTTTTTAATAAGAGTTTGAACAACTATTTGTTTAAAATGATATACATTTTCCTGCTTAAGTAGAGGGTTGGACTAGAAGACTTCCAAGGTCCATTCCAACTCTGTTATTCTGTTACATATACATTATATTTTGATGAGAGAGAGAGAGAGATACACACACACAGACTTTCTTTTTTTTCTTTTTTTTTCTTGTAGCTTCTATTAGTCTTTAACTATTTAACTTAATGCTTAATAAAATTATTATTAAAAAAGAAGAAATGGGGCAGGAAGGGATAAAACAGAGCCCATGGTCAAACAAGAAGCTCTGTTTAAAGTGACAAAAATATACCACAGAGGGTTTAGACCAGGGGTCAGCAACCCACGGCTCTGGAGCCGCATGTGGCTCTTTCATCGCTCTTCTGCGGCTCCCTGTTGCTCAAAATATGCGTTACAACCGCCAATGTGTGATACCCACCAGCATGCGATTTATTAAACCTTTCAACCCCCGGTAGGCCAACCATGGATAAATTCAAGAAAAGAAAAGTTTCAGAAGAAAACAGAACATTTAATTCAACTACACATGCTACACATCTGTGGCCTCTCAGGAAATAGTCAGGCATGGGAAAGGTTTTGTGGCTCCCGGTGTTTTTTGTTTTTTTGTTTTCTGTGGGAAATGGGTCCAAATGGCTCTTTGAGTGTTTAAGGTTGCAGACCCCTGGTTTAGACTTTGTGTATTCCTATTCCTCCTATTAAAATGAATTGCTGTCATAACCTACCATTTGAAATTTATTTCAAACAAACAAGATTAGCCACAGATGATCTGGAATCTGATGGCCAACCAATTATAATCTAAAGAAGAAAGAGCAGCTTCCGAAACCTTCCAATAATAGAAGGGATAAATGACCAAGCCTGATGCTTGCTCCAGATTTTTATTTTCACACTAAAACACTAATTTCCAATTTAGAGTTCCCAAACTACAATTGTCATTGGTCCCAGATGGAAATAACAAAAACTCTCCCTTCATAAAGATGCCAGTTTCTATTTTCTTATGAAGCCTTCATTTTTTGCTTCTTCTTTTGCATCATGATCAGCTATTGCTCTGGTCAATACCTATTTTGCTGAATTCATTTAGAGATTCTTCTATTCTACAACATAGGTGCAAAGCCATAGGAGACATTCCAATTACAAATTGACTAGCAAACAGTTGACTAATACAGTCTGCTTCAGAAAGTAATACAGCACAGGATGCATTGCATAGTACACAAACACACCAAGCAAAACACTGGGACTTTGGCAGTCTGGAAATAAGAACAACCTTCTGGATCAGGGCTGTCAAACTCCCAGTCCACGGGCCAGATGCATCACACGCTGGATACACCCATGTCCGGTTTAGCGAAGAGGGGGAAAG